AATAATGTTACCTTATAGGAGAACCCAATCACTATTAATCCCGCAGTATGGTTGTATTGTGAAATTGTTCTTCTAAATTAGGACATGAACTAATTACCACCATTGTTATTTTTTAATTGTTGTTTAGGTTCAACAAGTTTTGCAAATTCGTGGATTGATAATATATTTTACCTGGTTGATATAAAAGCGAATATTATGCTTGTTGAAAAGCAACCAACGGAACCTTAGGCTTTTACCCTCTATCTTGCCGTTTTACTGTTATGCACATCTTATATATTCAGGGAGGTAATAGGGCCCCCTTACAAGTCTTTGTTCACTGCTGGTCACCCAGGGAACTTTTGAGTCATGTTAGAGTCACTCTCTCAGAATATTGGTTGCTTTCCCTGGTCATACAGGTGAGCAGTGGGCAAAGACAAAATCTCAAGCTCTCGTTTTCTAGTCACTTGACGCAAGCGGGTCTATATTTCGTTCCCTTTTTGATACAGAACACAACCATATATCTTGGAGTCACCCATTTCCCGCATCTATGACTATAACCACCATGACCACGTTACACATTTAGGTCATGAATTTGATAAAAAATTATATATGTTCAGCATAGCGACGTTCAGAAAATTGAATTGTCAAATTTTACCTAAATGCCTTATTAACGGCACATCATACATGGAAGCCGTGATACTAGTATACCCTAAAGACACACTTTCATAAGACCCCCCCCCCCCAACTATGTAAAATTCATATCTGAAAGTAGGGCGTCCAAGTATATCCGCATTCCTGAAAAAGGTTTGGATGAAAAAACAGATTTGATCGGTATGAATCTTTTTGGGATATTCTTTACCTTTTTTCCCTGTATAGGCACTGACACACAAATAAAAAGTTTATTTTTTTATTTTTTAAATCCCCGTTAGAAATATATTGGGTCATCAATAAATTGATGTGGTTTTTACCGGGGTTTCATCATTCTATGCATTTGTTTGGTAAGCAGCTAACAGTGTTATGGTGTATGTAGTAAAAAACTTTCATACAAAGTTCATTTATGGAAAAAAGAAGAAGAAAGAGTTCTTGGAACAAGCCAACTCTTCACATATCTCCTCCTCTCCCCCATCATTTTCTCTTTCCTCTCTCTTTATCTCCCTCTTTCTCTCGGAAAACAAGTATAGGTAATGAGTATTGATTTCGACAACAATTCAGACATTTACGTTTACATAAACTATTTCGGATATATTTATATTACGTTTCTCCAGTGTAAAGTTCAGCCTTGCAATAAGCATATATGCCAAACCAATCATATGCCAAACAAACCATTTGCCAAACAAAACATATGCCAATTAAACTCTTAGCCATAAAATCGAAGGCAGCATGTTGACGTGATAATGCGAGTAGTATATCCGTCAAAAACAATGAAATTTGACACCAACTGTCACTTTAAATTATGAGTTAGGAAAACGACACAACTGCGCTGATCAATTTCTACAAAAGAATAAGAAAAACAGACTTCTTGATGAAGGTTGTTTCTCTGAATGGCACAAGATATGAGCCAGACTCCGAAGTTTTATCTGAATGACAACGGCATTGCCAATGTTGAAGTGATATCATGATTACAATTATTGACAGGGACGCTTGGGAGTGCGTATACGTGTGTATACTTCAAATAACTAGAGGCTTTCCGAGTTCCCCTTTTTTTTAAAACAATACACCACATGTACCTACTAGTTTTTATTCATTGCAAATCAATTATTTTGCCAGCACCAATTACCAGTGATTACTCAGACGATATACAATGTATACAAAATACCCTTCTCGTTTTTTTTTGCACAAAGAATACGTAGAACTGTTTAGCTTTCATATTTCAAATATTAATATCATCACCACTTTATATTTGTATAAAATTAGAGTGATGTGTTTGATACAAACCATTACGTAATTGATTAACCCATAATTTGGGAACAACAATTTGGGGACAACAACAATTTCGGAAACTTATATTTTTGACACATCATTCCAATGTCCTTGACTTAAAATATGTTTTACTTTAAAAATCCCAACTTTTCCCCATAACTTGAAATGCAATACCTGGTTATTAAAATTAATATTACTATTATTCCATAATATTTAATTTTCAATATTTTTAACCATGGGTGTATTTACAAATCTCAATTCTGACCAAGTGCAAGGTAAATTAAAGTAAAAATGGGGGTATCCTAGACATTCGACAGAGTTTCTCCATGTTTCTGTTATTACAATTAAACTGAAACACCAGTTGAATTCCATCTACTTTTTTTAACCAATGGGGAAATCAAATTTTCCAAGTAGTTTTTTTCATCGTCAACAAATCTCCTTATTCAAAGTCGCATGCTGAGAACCGACTTTTGCCTGTAGACCAACTATATTTTCCCGGTACCTTCTTGGATTAGTATTTAAACATACATTTCTTTTTATTTGCTCTTTTGACCTCCATAAAAAGAAAACATAATTTTATTTATTTGTTGAACAACAGAATTCGGTATTGGAATAGCGACTAAGTAATTTGCGACACAACTAAAAGCTTTGATATATACCGTATATTAAAACAATCAATTATTTTGCCAGCACCAATTACTAGTGATTAATGGGAGAGACGATATACGGTATCGTTGAATTTCGTTAGATCAAGAAAAGTGTGCATTACGAGTACAGTTGTAGGGGCAAAAGCTTTGATTTGATATGATTTTGAAAGTGAAGAAATAAAGAGAGAGAGAGAGAGAGAGAGAGAGTCAGAGAGAGAGAGAGAGAGAGAGAGATGGGTTAGAGTTAGGGTAAGGAGTAAGGGTAGGGGTAGGGGCAGTGAGAAGGGGAAAATATAATGGTAAATGGGAAGGAAAGGAGGTGAGAAAAGGGAAGGAAATGAGAGTGAAAGAGAAAGAGGGAGAAATAGAAGGCGAGGGATGACAGCATAGAAGCATGAAGGAGTGAAGGAGACGAGAATAAAAATGTCAAACTGGGTTCAGATATGCTTTAAACTTGTCACTCTATTAGTTAGGTAGTAATCACTTGATCAGTACTGACAGACATATTACATCCGTGTGAGAGGTAGCGCTTAGTAGGCTTAAAGTTTCTGAATTCTTAAACGTTTAGCGATGACAGACATTCAAGATGCCTCGAATCATGAGCGTCAAGAAATATCATTCTTGACGATTCTTGACGACTTTTTGACGAAAAGAAGTTTGTTTTCTTGACACGTGCTATTTCAACGTTGACTGCACTGACAGATCGATTTTCTTATCGCAGGATGAGAGTATATTATGCAGCGAAATATAATTTTTTTTGAAGAAAATAATGTCCTGACCGAGTTAAGATAAATGACCATCAGGTCCTGTGAAGAGGGCCGGAAGAGGGTCCTCCGCGGTATGTTTCAAAATAGCAATTTAATCAGATGAAAAGCTGATAGTCGATAGAAGAAGACAAAATCTGTTGACACCGGTACAAAATAATAATTTCGTCAATTACTAAATCAATAAATTGATGAATCAATTAATCAATCAATCAGCATGTCACCCTATTAGTAATAAGTATCAGTTTATATCCATGGACAGATAATAAGGAGAGGCTTCAAGTTTCTGCATTCTAAAACGTTTTAGCAATGACAGGTCAGACAAGATGCCTCGAATTATCGTCGTTAAAAAAATGAAATTATTTATTGACACGTTCTTTTCGATGTCTATTCCACTCAAATATTCTTTTTTTCTCACAGGAAGGGAGAATAATACGATGAAGAAAAAAAAGTACGAGCATTTTGTACTAATTATGGTAACGGATTTCTTTATGATCAACAGGTCTGGTGAAGACAATTGTGTATGCTTCAAAAAGGCAACTTAAACAGATCCAATAATATTACATCGAGCAGTAGATAAATGTCTCCGTATATGCCCATCATTCATTCATCAATACATTAATCATGTATCTATCAATGCAATCAAACAACCAACCAATCAATCAATAAATCAATCAATCAATCAATCAAGCAAGCAATCAATCAATCAATCAATCAATCAATCAATCAATCAATCAAGCAATTAACCAATCAATCAATCAATCAATCAATCAATCAATCAAACAATCAATCAATCAATCAATTAATCAATCAATCAATCAATTCATCCGTGCATTTATCCATTCATGTATCCATCGATCCATAGATCCGTTAATTAAATTCTACCATTCATTAAATCTCCTTTGACGTACATGAGTACATCCATAATTTTATCTATATCAATATTCAATCAATCAATCAAGCATTCACTCAACCAAAGTCCACCACTCTATCATCCCTCCATCCATACATACACGATCCGTACATGTATCTTTCAATCCAACAAACCAACCAACCAAACCAACTGAAGTAATCAGACAAATTTACAGTATTCGTTGAGGAAGGGTGACTGAATCACTGGAACCCATGATACCATGCACTATTTACAGTCATATCCCACTCCTTCTCACCCCTTCATACCCTTGAAAAACAGTGGTCTTGGATTACACCCAATACTGGACTAGAGGGTTACCAACTGGGGGGGGGGGGGGTATGTATGGTTACTGTTCTATCCCTACTCCTATACTAAGCTATACCAGTCACTGTCTTGTCACAACCGACCCTTGAGGAACCTAAACTGTCTAATAGTGACGATCTTCCATGGGTTGGGCATAGGGGCGTTATTCATTTAGGCAAACATTACATAGGGCACTCTAGTGTATCTTAATAATATCTTGCCCTAAAAAATGTTATTATAACATAATGCTCATAGGCAATGCACTGTTCAGCTATTATTCTCCCAGCGAGGTGGCTACCGTTTGGTTGGTTTATATTGATATATAAACAAATGGGGCAGTTTGTGTACCTTAAATCTAAAAACAATAATCATGATGAGACAGACATCGTGCACCAAGCCCCATTCTTAGATGGAAAACAATGCGAGTGATAGGTGAGATGGGGAAGGGATGGAGAGCGTAGGGGGGGGGGGGGGCTAGCTAATAGTACTCACCATTTCGCTATATTTTATCCCTTGATCATTGAGGACATCGAAAAACTCAGTCTGCCAGTGAGGGGCTACCATGACGTCAACAGGACTACCGACCTGTCGAGGGTGCTTCCATATATCAACCTGTCGGTGGGATAAAGAGGTATTCATATTGGAAAATGATTGAACTCATATTTCATTCTCGTAGTGTGTCAGAATAGGCCCTACATGTAACACTATTGAGGAAAATATATTGGAAGGAGAATGAGAAAGGAGGAGAGAAAAAGAAAGAGGCAGAGAAAATGTGACAGAAAAGAGAGGTAAAGAGAAATAGAGGGGAAGAGAAAGAGATGGAGGGGAACATAGGAGGGAGACCAAAAAAAAAAAAAGGGGGGGGGGGGTAGTAAGAGGATATTTCCCCCAAAATATATCTTATTATGTGCAAGATGATAAAAAGTGAGACCCAGAGTAATAGAAGGCTGATAAACTTTCATACGACAAATAAAAAAAAATAGAAACAGATATGAAAACAAGCAGACAGGGAGGAAGGGAAAGAGAGAGAGAGAGAAACAAAAAGCGAGAAAACGCCATTATCCTTCCCATCACCAGCACACATAATAATACAGAAAACGCGTTTAAAATTGCACAATTTTACAGAAGTTGTTCATAACTTTGTGGTAACTCCACGTACTTTGCTGAACTTTGCTTTGCGTTCCACCTGGGTCTATTTTCCTCACAGCTACCCACATCCTCATGTTCACACCCCAATAAGTGACCATATGAGACTCTCCAATGGGAAGCATTAACTAAACATGAGGTAACTCTTAGCACCCCCCTGATGGTACTTAACCCCATTTCTTACATCGCCTTGTTTAACCATCTCTGTACTTAATGCGAACGTATTTTAGCCACTTGCGACCAGTTTGATGGCGGATTCGTCACAAACTGCCCAACGAATGTGCGGCCATTAAAACACATTCGATTTCATGTCTCGCCATATGCAGTGCGTCCCAGAAAAAACGAAACCGAGAATTATTGATGTTTTATCATAACTTAATCACATTTATAATTAACAAATGACACATTATTTGGAAAGGTTAGATCCTCCTCTTTCATTTGATGCAACTCATATAATGCATATTTTACGCATGAGTGATTAATCACTTTGAAGAGAGGAAAACAAAAAGTCATTTGGCGGACGATATCTTAATTTCAAAGAGAAAATCACATTTCTAGAAGTTTGAGTTTTTGCCCTCTCATATGACACCTCAATCAGGAAAAATGAGCTAGGAATAACAAAGTTCAGTTTGTTTAAAATAGTGCTTGCATTTCCATAATTTGATTAAACGAATTTGTTTTCACTGGCTGCCTGCCGTACCAACAAACGATATTAACAAAAGACTTAACTCCGTTTCGTTGACAATCAGCCGTAGACGAAAGACTTCATGCATGGCTGATTGTAAACGAAACGGAGTTAAGTCTTTTGTCAATTCTGCTTTTTGCTACGGCAGGCTGCCAGTGAAAACGAATTTGTTTGCTAAAATTACGAAAATGTAAAGGCTACTTAAAAAAAACAGAACTTTTGTCATTCCTTGCTCATTTTTCCTGATTGAGATCTCATATGAAAGGACAGAAACCCAACTTTCTAGAAATATGATTTATCTTTGTAATTCAGATACCGCCCGCCAAATGACTTTTCGGTTTCCTCTCTTCAAATTGATTTTAATCACTCATGCGTGAAATATGCATCATATGAGTTGCATCAAATTAAAAAGGAGGATCTAAGCTTTCCAAATAATGTGTCATTTGTTAATTATAAATGTGATTAAGTTATGATAAAACATCGATAATTCTCGGTTTCGTTTTTTCTGGGACGCACTGTATAGTGGGGTAGTTTGCACAGGGCAGATGTCCACCAATCAAATAGTGAAGAGAGAGAGAGAGAGAGAGAGAGAGAGAGAGAGAGAGAGAGAGGGGGTGGACTGGGAGAGGGGGAAGGCAACGTATAATGAGGATACAACCCTCCCCTACACGATGGCTTGTTTTCTATATATAACTCGTATCCAATGCTACACCCCCTCCCGGTATGGCAATAGTGCCACTAAATGGAGGGGCCCATGTTGTACGCCACTAATGCTGCCCATAATAATTATACAGCATCCTTGTTTGTATTTTTTATTTTGAGCAGATGTCCATCGATGTAAATAGAGCAGTTTGTTTCACCAGATTGTAGAAATGGTTCTTCTTTGAATTCCATTTAAAAAATCGGATTATTATGTAGGAATGGGGAGTAGGGGTTCTCAAAAAGTAAACACCAAATAATGAAATTAGATGGACTCAGTTAATGCTTTTTCTTAGGGGATTTATTCGGTTTGATATGACTTTTAAATAAAAAGTCGTTTCTAAATTTCTAGATTGGGTAAACCGATTTTCTCGAGCAAAACAATTTCATCTCGTGCACTTTTCGACCATGCCCCTATTCCACTCATACGTTTCTATTTTACGAGAAGATACAGATGACATATTGTATTCCTTTTATTTATTTTGTTGCTGTTTTGACATGATTAAATGTGACGTGAAGCTTATGGAAAAAGTACTGAAATGAATGAAACTCTGATAACCTAAATATCAGAATAATTCGAAACCACTTTGAGAAGTTTGAAGGTTATATAGAGGCATCGTCATAAAGAGAAAGTACTGGCCTATTTCAAAGGAAAGGGTCTCATTCTTTAGGAACAACGTCAGGGCTATTCAAATTTCAATTTTCTGTAATTAAAATATTATATTTATTACGTAACACCGTAGATGTTTATGCCACGCTGTTGAAGGTATCCATTATGACAAACCCCCTTCCCCTTAGAAGTTCCATAGCATTAGAAAATGGGGAAATCGTACTGACTACGAAATATTATTTCCATAAAGAACGATCATAATTTTTGAAAAAAGCAAAATAAATCTACAAACAAACATTACAAAATGAAAACAAAATTAATTCGATATTTTGTCCCCACAAGGAAATTCGTGGATAACAAGGCAAGTTGAATAATTTTGACACAGTTTCCACGATAATCAACACAAGTCTACCTCAACACATTGAATGCTAGTAAAACACGTGTTTCTTTCATACTACTAATTGCGATTCAGCCAAAGAATAAGGAACAGGGGGAATACCCTTCAAAGCTTGAAATACACACAAAGGGATTTCCCCCTGTGTGCTATCTCTGCTCACCACTCCCTCACTACTATATACTGACGACTAATAACTGCTGTCCGACTGTTTCCTGTTGTGCAAAAGTATGTTTTCCTCGATAAAAGCATTTTTGTTTTGTTCGTAATTTACGATTTTTTAAATGTCTGTCATCGCCTTTGGTATGGCTATTGTCATTCTAATTGGAAAATGTATCCAGTGTCCTCTCGAAAGCATGAATGCTTTTTTGGGGTAAAAAAGGGCAAGGAACGTCTGGAACTTCCAGACGTTTTATGTCAGTTATTCTAACTTTCATTTACTCAATTCAGATTGGGGAGGGTGTGGTTTTTAGAAGGAGTGAAAGGTAGGCGATGACAAAATGTTTGCAAAGCTGTATTAAATAGCCCCTGCAAAGTAAGCCACCTATATTCCAAACAGCTGGAACGTTTCAAATGAGAGAGTGGTATGGGAATCACGTGTCGGGCATAATAATTAATTTAAAAAAACGTGTGGGGGTCATTTAGTTTCGTGCCCCCTTTCAAAATCGTGGTGGTGGGGGGGGGGGGGGAGCGTCCCCCGTCTCCAAGATTTTGTCCCATGAGTGGGTACAACTCGGTGTAAGCGGGTAACGCATGGGGGTGGGAGAGTTGGAAGAGGGTGGTGGGAGGGTTGGAAGAGGGGCACGGTACTTACCCTGTTTTCCCATACTTCTGCTAATGTGTTAACCCATAAGAGATCCGCTTCAGTCTGAGGTGAGATACGAAGGACTTTATAGCTGGAAAAAAAGACAAAAATAATTTCGTTTTCAGATTTGCAGTGTAAATGAGGTGGGATTGAATAAGATATTGAAAACAGTTAATATGATTTTTTTTTAAATACAACAAATCTATGGATGGGAGTACCAGCAACCCAGCTAACAGATTATGGGTACAATGAGCAAAAAGAAATTAGGAGCTTGGGATATCCAACCAAAATTAAACATCCCCCCCCCCATTTTTTGGGGTCAATGTCGCTATTTATAAGGACCGCTATTCGTAAGGTTCGCTATTCATAAGGTCAGCTATTCATAAGGACCGCTATTCATAAGGTCGGCTTTTCATAATTGGAGAAAAGGGTCATTATTCTTAAGGACAGCTATTCATAATCAAAGAAGAGGGTCGGTATTCATAATATCAGAGGAGGGTCGCTATTCATAATACGAAATCGGGGTCGTTATTCATAACGTGGGCAACTCGTTACTTCACACTACTTTACTGAACACAATTTTAAATCTTTTCTACAATCAAACAGTTGTGAGGAAAACCTTTTTCTTCTCCATCTAAATATTCGAAGTGCCAATAAAAATTTTGATAAACTTAAATTATTCATAGACAGTAACCAGCTTCCCAAATCTTCAATTATAGGATTAACAGAAACTTGGTTTTCCGAAAACCCATGTTCCCTCTATTCACTCACAGATTTTAATTTGGTTGTTAATAACAGAACTTTTAGACCCGGTGGTGGTGTTGCACTTTACATACCGCAACTATATGAATATGCTCTTAAACCTAATATGACTATATCTAACGATGTTTTAGAATCCCTTTTTGTTGAAATTAACAACCCAAGTGGAAAAAACTTAATTGTAGGCGTTTTATACAGACCTCCTCAATCAAATACTCAAAATTTTCTAAGAACTCTTAATGACCTTCTGCTAGATCCTCTGTTGAAAAACAAAGATTGCTGTATTATGGGTGACTTCAACATTAACTTAATGAATTGCAACATTAACAACGTTTCGCAAGAGTTTCTCGAAACTTTTTTATCCAATTCTTTCTTACCACTTATCACTAAACCCACAAGAGTGACAAAAAATTCAGCTACTATTATTGATAATATATTTAGCAATATAACCTACCCCATCCCCAAAGCCGGTATCATCCTAAATGACATTTCTGATCATTTTCCAATTTTTGCTAAGTTGTGTATAAATAAACTTGTCAAAAAAGCGACGATCACTACTCCATATCGCAAAATAACTGATGATAATATTACTAATTTAATCAGTGATTTAGACTTAATAGACTGGTCGAACGTTTTTGATTCATTAGATGTTGATGAATCGTACGACTTCTTTATCAATAAGCTTACAGCGTCTTTAAATACTCATGTTCCCCTCACCACCCACCGGAGATCAAACTATAAAAAGATCCCAATTCATCCTTGGATTACAAAATCGCTTTTAAGATCTATCAACCGCAAGAATAACTTGTATTATAAATATATTACAAAACCAAGTGACGAAGCTCGCTCTAAGTACACATTATATAAAAACACCCTTACCACTTTATTACGTATTTCAAAAAAAGAATACTATACTTCACAACTCAATTTGTACAAAAATGATATGAAGAATACATGGAAAATCATTAATGGTGTATTAAATAAGAAGAAAAAAGGATCAACAATAACAAAAATCAAAACCAATAATACTATCACCGATGATGCTGATACAATCGCTGAAAATTTTAACTCGTACTTTTCACAAGTGGGTAACAAACTGGCACAACAAGTGCCACAGAGTACCAAATCATTTAACGATTTTCTTGTCAACCCTAACCAAAATTCCATCTTTTTTAATCCTACAAACACTCGAGAAATTATAGACATTGTTAACAATCTTCTGATTAAGAAGAGCGCCGGGTTTGACTGTATTCCCAACTTCTTATTAAAGAAAATTATCAGAGCTGTTGTTCATCCCTTGGTGCATATCTTTAATATTTCACTTCATACAGGTCGGGTACCTAATCAAATGAAAATCGCCAAGGTCATACCCCTCTTTAAGAAAGGTGATAATCAACTCGTTACTAACTATCGTCCCATATCCTTACTTACCTCGTTATCTAAAGTTCTTGAGAAACTTGTTTTTACAAGAACAACCACGTTTTTTAAAAAATACAATATTTTCTCACACTTCCAATTTGGTTTCCGTGAAAATCATAGCACCTCGCATGCAATTTTGTCTTTTATGAAAACAGTTACCACTTCCATTGATAAAGGTTTGCATACTGTAGGTATATTCCTGGACTTCTCCAAGGCCTTCGACACTATAAACCATGAAATTCTTCTTCACAAACTTTCTCACTATGGTATTAGAGGGAAGGCCTTGGAGTGGTTCAGGAGTTACCTTACAGATAGGACTCAATTTGTATCGGTTAACAACTGTAATTCTTCTACACTTCCTATTACCTGTGGTGTACCGCAGGGTAGCCTACTCGGCCCCCTTCTTTTTATTACCTATATTAATGACATTCAAAAATCTTCAAATTTATTATCATTTATACTTTTTGCAGATGACTCCAACATTTTCTTTTCTCATAAGAATGCGAACCAACTACTTAGAACTGTAAACTCTGAACTAAAAAATGTAACTGACTGGATCAAGGCTAATAAACTATCACTTAATCTGCAGAAGACCAATTACATGCTATTTAGCAACAAAATCAATAGTTTGCCAGGTGAAATTATTTTTGATAACGCTGCTCTTGTTAATGTTTCTACAACCAAATTCTTGGGAGTGTTTATTGATGAAAAATTATCATGGAAAACTCACATCGATAATATATGCAAAACCATTTCGCGAAACATCGGTATTATCAATAAACTCAAATACTTTCTTCCTTCTCGAACTCTTCTTACATTATATCATACCTTAATATTACCATACATTAATTATGGGATTATAGCATGGGGATGTGCAATACAAACACAATTAAATAGGATCCTACTGCTGCAGAAAAAAGCACTCAGGATAATATTTCAAACACAATTCAGATTTCATACAGATATTTTATTTTTCGAAAATAATATTCTCAAAGTGAAAGATATCTATGTGTTCCAACTCTGCCAATTTATGTTCAAACTAAGTAAAGACGACCTCCCCGCAATTTTTTCCGATATGTTCTGCAAAAATGCCTCTGTACACAATTACCCGACTAGACAACGGAACTGTTATCACTTACCCTTAACACGAACATTATTTGCACAGAATTCATTTGTCTTCGCTGGATGTGCCTATTGGAATTCTCTTCCCAACGATATAAAAGAAGCCCCTAGTCTTAGCAATTTTAAACGTAAACTTAGGAAAACATTAATCAGCCAATACTCCCCACCAACAAGCCAAGCTCAAAAATCTAAACCTACGGAAAGATAAAACAAATCTTTCCTTTTGTTATTCCTCCTTTCCTCCTTTTTTGTTTCTTTTTTAAGAATAATCTAAACAAGCCTAACGACCTGGTGGTGTACCTGCCTCCTGTCCCCATCTCCTTCTTCCTGCCTTTCTCTCGCTCTCTATTTCTCTCTTGCTCTCTCCCCTTTCTCTCTCTCTCTCTCTCTGTTACTATATTTATCTTACTTTTATTTTTACTTTTACTTTTTTTTTTTTTTTGTATTCCCTTTTAGTGTGTTTTACTGGTATTAGCTTTCGACCATAATTATTTAAGCGTATCCATGTAACTAAGTCAGGGGCTTGCCTCATACAAGCTCTGCTTTTTTAGCAAGCCCCTCCGTTTTGAATTACTTCATCAAGGTCATTTTTTTTCTATTGTTCAGTACTGTTTTTTCCCAATATTTCTTATCAACTAAATTTTGTTCTACATAATACTGAATTTACTTTGTTTATATTATATTTGACTGTATTATATTATGTCTGTTTATATTTTGTTTGTTTTGAAACGGAAATAAAATCTGAAATCTGAAATCTGAAATCTGAAGGGTCCCTATTCATAATATTACAAAAGGGTCGGTATTTATAACACAGAAAGAGGGTCGCTACTCATAATACGAAATGAGGGTCGCTATTCATAAGGGTTATCATTCATAAGGGTCATTATTCATAATCGATGAAAAGGGTCGCTATTCATAATACGAAATGAGGGTCGCTATTCATAATAGGAGTAGAGGGTTGCTATTCATAATAGGAGAAGAGAGTCGCTATTCATAATAAGTAATGAACCTCTTTTCGTATTGTGAATAGCGACCCTCTCGTCGTATTATGAATAGCGACCCTGATTTCATATTATGAATAGCGGTCCTTATGATTAACGAACCTTATTTCTTTATGAATAGTGACCCTCTTTCACCATTATGAATAGCGGACCAGGAAGTACGGGAATTTCCACGTTATGAATAGCGGTCCTTATGAATAGCGGACCTTATGAATAGTGGTCCTTATGAATAGCGAATAGACCCCATTTTTGGGACCCTCCGACAGGCCATTTATTGAAAATAAATCTCGGAATAACATATTTGAATACATGTACATTGTACATGTACAAATGAATATCATATAATACTTCAAAATAAGATATTCATAATGAATATAATAATTGATAATAATAATATGATAATGAAAATACTATACATACAGAACATGATAATAAAGATAGATTAAAATTAAACATGCCTTTTACAGATCAAAGCGATTCCTTGAAATCATATAAACATGATGGATTTACCGATTACTGCTTGATTACGAAAAGTCTCTATAAAAATGAAAATATCACAACAAATAATATTTAAAAAGTCTAGGACATGGAACTCATGACGTGGAGTAGAGAAGGGGTGTCTGACACCTTTGTGATATAATAAAGGAGGCATGAAAAGATGTGTCGACTATTGAGTATGTTGAATTGATATTAGTCATGAACAGTACAGTGAACCATATTTTTTGAAAGGGATAGGGATACTAATATACAGCTGTTGGGGCTGTTGGTGCTGATTGCCAGTTCACATTAT